GCTTAGAACTAAAGTAATTTTATGCTTGGAGTATGTATTGGTCCCTTTTCCTCTTTTCTCACCCCAGTCTTGACAGATGTATGTAGTACAAATAGAGATATGCATCTGTTACAGAAAAAAGATTACGTAGTTTACAAACTCTCATAAACAGACTACTATAATTAACTCTTTTAAATTCCATTGTCTAATAATAGCCAGAAAGTGTTTACTGGCTATTATTATGTTTGAAAGCAAGGGTAGTTTAGTCTTTGATTTAGGGTCCTATAGAAAAAGTAACAAATATCATTGTTAATTTACATTACTTCAGAAAATCTGTTAATAGTCAGATGTCTACTCTGATAGTGTTTTAAACAGGCAAGAGAATACAAGGTCCCAAGTCAACTTAACAGTATTAAACATGCTAACTTTGAATAGGGAACTACATTCTGGCACTGTTACTAGTATCTAAAAGCATTTTAAAACATATGTTTTGGGTGACATTTATATATATGGGCAATTGACCTAACCTAATTATTTTCTTAAATATGGATTCAGAAATGACTGATGATAATGAAATTGTGAGGAATAGTTGACTAGTACAAGAGAATAAACTTTAAAAGTATAGTTTTCTATTGTCTTGTTTTGGGAAATTAATTTGGTTCATTATTTAATTTTTCTCTGTTTTGAGTAAACGGGAAGGTGATCTTTACAGGATTAATAATTTACATTTTTATGGGAGGTTTATCCAGATATCAACATCTTTCCCACTTAATTTGTAATTATGTTTCTTGTATTTTGGAAGAGAATAATTCTGGAAAAAAATAATAATTTATTCTTGTGGATTAACTCCATTCTTCAGTGTGTTAAGCTAATAAACTTGTATTAATGCAGTAAGAATTTATTATACAAGGTCTGTCCAGAAGGTATCTATCCATGTAATACAAAAAAGAGACATTTATTGAAGAAGATACAAGATACAGGAAAGATTGTACATAGGACAATGACACCTCAGTCCCCTTCAAAGTAGGCACCTTGGGACCTCACACAGTTCTAACTGCAATCAGCTGCCGCATCGTATTTTCTTGAATCTCATCCATGGTGTGAAATTGCTTCCCTTTCAAAGGTGATTTTAGTTTTGGGAAAACCCAGAAGTCATAGGGTACTAAATCTTGGCTGTAGTGGTGCTAAGTCACCTGGGTGGTTTGATGTTTGGCTAAAAAATTCTGCAAGAGGTGGGGTGCATGAATCGGTACATTGTATTGATGAAGCTGACAATCAGCCCATAGCTGTGGCCTTCTGAATCATCCCAAAAGTTTCCACAGAGGAATGTTCAAGCTTAATGCAAAATTTGATGCAGTTGTGTTGCTCTACTCACTCATTCATTTTGAATGAGACAGCCACATGATACACATGATCACTCAGTGGTATCTACCACCCCCCACTGACTAGTATGGTGAAGTTGTCATTTTGAGCACATGTGCATTCCAGTCCACTCTCCTTAGCTGCCAGGTTATGCTGATGTCATGTAAGCTGTTCTTGTTATATTAACAATAGCTGAGGTATTCCCTGATAGACCTCATATATATAACTATATATTCTGCTATTATAATTTAAAGGAAATGTTACAAAAAGAATTTTAATAGCATCTTTGTACTAGGTAAACTTTTTAAAACTCAAGATTTATGGTATATGACAAGTGCTCCTTTGCATTACAGAATACATCTGTTGTCATGAAATTCCTTTTCAGTGTTGCTTCAAATAAACAGGCAGTGTGGTCAGAATTCACTTGCTTTTTGAACTTCAGGTCATCTCTTTTGTTATAGTACCACTGTAAACATAAATTATAGATTATACACATATGACTGACTTTTATTTATAAAAGAAAGACACATCAAAATTAACAGGAATGGCATGTTAAAATCAATTATTTAACAAAATAAATTCTGTTCTTCAATAGCAGGTCTATATGGCCATTTGTGAGCTGGACTTTATTGTGCTTAGTGCAATAAGTCATTCTTCTAGTATTCATTTTACTAATCTGTCCTTTTCTTGTCTTGACCAGTGATTTTGCATTGCATCCAAGTGACATTAAATAGCCAGAGGTTATAGAATACTATGACATGGGACATATGTGCCCAGGCATGTAATCTGTACCAGGTGTGATGTAACATACATGTAATATACAACACTTTTGTCTTGAAGCCAGAGTGAATTGTTTTTACATCCACACAGGGAACTCAGGGACAGAATCATGAGAACTTTTAAGGTAGTTAGTGAATGGGATAGAGAGGAAATACAGAAAGCTTTGAGAAAGCAGCACGTGGCCAAAAACAACAGCAGGTGTGGCCATATGGCAATCAAATTAGGAAAGGGATCCTTGCCACCCTGCCTTTCAGAAGACAGTCACACCCAGGCAGCGCTCAGGGAAGGATGATTTACTTAGTATGTTTTAAGTGTTTCATATTGCTTCTTTCACTGCTCAAACCTGAAGGGAATTTAAATCTATTGCAGTGAGTAGATATTGAAGAATTTCCTTAAACAATAAAATTAGTAACTTCTAAATGATTTCATGTCCACATTTAGAGATAACTATGGCCAAAAACACATTAATTTCTAAATAAAGCATTTGCTAAGCTGAGATTGTTTTAAAAAATGTAAAACATTATCATGTTAAAATTTAATTAGTTTATTAAAGTTTACATTATTTTATTTTAACAAAATAGTTAATAAGATTATTTATAATTTGAAATTCCCAACTTAAGCAAAGATACCCTGTAATAATGTAATTAAAATTATTTCTCAAGAAGTCCATAAGCTGCAGCATTTTCAGAAGTTCTTGAAGGGTTTTCTTTTAAAAAGAATTTCCTACAAACCTATTTTAATTCTCCGACTGGGTTTCAAAAATTTGTTTGACCTACAAAAGAACAAGGGCTGTACTATTAACATTCATTCTTAAATGTAACATTAGTATGGCACCATGTTGTGATTTCAACAACATTCTTGAGGTGTGTGTTTGTGTGTGTGTTCTAATCTGGGAAAATGTCCACACTTTATGCTTTGCCCTTTACTCTTCCTATCTTTGAGGGAAAATATGGTGTTTGTTGAGAACTTAGAGAGACCCGTGAATATTTGAATATTCGCACTGTTCTGATCTCCCTTCTGCCCATACACATCTCTATTATGGTAACAAACTATCCTATGGTCAGAATAGAGACAGTGTTCATATTTCAACTTCAAGGTCTCCGGTTTGTTTCTGCCTATTGGCAGCACCGCACTCTTACTTTCCATGACCCAGCTTTTTAATAACAGCACACAAAAAAAGATAACCAATTACTTAACCTAATGGCTAATAGTTTAAGTGTTGATTGTTTCCCTAATAGTGTTTTTTTTTCCAAATAAGATTCTTATGTCTATTTTGAATTAAGAGAAGTCATCTGTCCATGTAAGAACCATGAGCTTGTAGTCAGTTTCTTATTGAAGCACAAATATTATACTTCTGTTAAAATTAGTTTACATATATTTAACTTAGATGGCATCCACATTTTGTTGACTTGAGATAAATTTTTTCAGGGAATATGGGAATTTTTTACTTAAAAACCTGGCTTTGAACCTTTTATGATTTTAAAAATCACAAAAAATATTTAAAAAATCATAAATACCATTGCTTCTATCAATCATATGTTAAAACTATTAGTATTTTGTCACATTGCTGTCAGGGATTATCAGAATAAAACATGGCTGAAGCCTTTTTGGTCCACTTCTAATCCTTCCCATGTGAGAGTCAACTACTAAATGAGTTTGGTTATTTTCCCCCTTTCAATAAAAAAAAAATCACACACACGTATCTATCAAAAATGTATTACCTTAAGTATGAATATGTACAGTTCAAAGGTATGTGGTATAAATTATTCATGTTACTTTTTCACTTAAATTTGTTATGGTGATCAATCCTACTGACATAAAGATCTACTTCCTCCCTTTTAACTGCTGTGTAACATTACATCATATGAATTGGAAACATTTTATTTGCCTATTTCTCTGTCGATGGACATTTATGAATTCCTTTCTTCATAGCTTTTCTAGTATTCCATTATTCCCGAGATTTAAATAACATTTTTATTTAAAAAGCAGTATATTTACATACTTCAGATATAAGTTTTAGACCACTTAGCAAGTCACCCTTGAATAGTTTCAGCTGGAGATGTTTTATTTTTAAATTATGCCTCCAATATAGCAAAATGGCAAATAATTCAAGATATGATTTTTAACATCAAATGTAATTTGTTCAAAATTTACATTAATCTTTCTCATAACTAGTCACTTCCATTTTGTCTTCCTGTCATCCCATAGAATGAAAATGTAATTTCCCAGAGGCTTTAAGAATTGGGGAGTATTAAATGTAGTTGAAATTAAGTGATTAATAATTTACTTTGGGTCATGAATCAACTTCATGGGATGCTAAGGATCATTTGCGACCCCAGAAGCACTAGCGGTAACAATGCACTTTTTAAGACTCAAGAACTCTCAAAGGTTGGCTGCCCAACCTAATTAAACTTCAATCTTCTGATAGCAAATTTATTTCTTCTTTGTACAGAATGTCCTGAGATCTTCTTGACAGGAAAATGTCACTTTGCCTGACAGCTGATAGACAGGTTATGTAGCACCATAATTGGAGAGAAAAGGATAGCTTAAAGCTATTCTATTTAATGGCTGTGTGTATGGCTTTTTCTTTCTTCCTTTTTCTTTTTTTTTTTAAGGTTTCTATGACAGACAAAGGCTTTAGCAAATAGGCTCTGTGCCATTTTTTCCTGCTTCCTCCAGGGGTAATTATCTTACTCCATCAATAGTGCTGTCAGAAATTGGGCAAGTAATTCAGCATTTAAATGAACAAGCAATGTAATATTTCCTGTCTCCCAGTGGAATGCTTTGCAGCTCACATTCTTCTCTGTCACTCGCTCACTCTTGATGTATATCCCACAACCAGTCCTTGAATGCCTTCTCTCCCTTGTGTTTCATTGCAGATGTTGGCTCCGACTTGACACCTACTTCATTTGGAGTTTTATAGGACCAGCGACCTTGATAATTATGGTAAGAACTCCTAATTAACTATGTTTTCCAGGTCAAGAAATAAAGCTTTCACTATCCCTGTACTGACTATGTTTAATTTACATAGATTAATTTGGGGAAAGCCTATACTTATTTGACCCTACATAACTCAAGCAATTAGACACTCATTATAGTCTACTTTTATATCCGTAAAATACTTAACCAAAACCGCTGGGAGAAGGAAACATGCATTTGCAAGTTTATGCTCCTCCGTGGCTCCTGAGGAGCCCGAGCTTGCATAATCCATTTGGGGTTTTTTTTTGATTTTTGAATAGTGATGACTTTAGGTTTGACCAACATTACAGTTGCAAATGGATAATTTGAAGTATGAATTGAACCAAAAGTTCAAAAAATGGCAAAATAGCTTATTGATTTTTAATATAAATCTTGAAATTTTAAAATTTAAAGCAATTTCATGTAAAAATGCCACAAGCAAGCATCCTGGAGTCATTCATTTTCTTGTCATTTTTAAATACATAATATCTTGATTTCAAATATGAATTATTTATTCTCATTTATATATAATTGTTACTATCATTTACAGACTGATAATTAAAAATACAAAGTTGTTATCCATTTTTTGAAAAAATAGCCTCAGTTTTGAATAAAGTATTCAAAAGTCATTTTCTGAAATCCTTTGGGCCAGGTATATTTTGAAGTTCAGACATTTTTTTCAGGCTTTATAAAGGTGATAAGGTACATGTGCTGCATATTATATATTATTTCTGGTGGTAAATAAGCAGTTGCCCCAAATCAAACATATCAACCAATACTTGCAGGAGAGACTAGGCAAGAGTCTACAACCAGACACTAATAATTCAGCAGGAAAAAAATATGAAAAGCTGAAATAAAGACATGAAGAGCCTTATGTCCATTCAAATTAGGTCTCCCACCAACCAGGTTTCATTCAGGTTAGGTTTTTTGGCTACCCAATGAATTTTTTTTAAAACTTTTACTTTCTTATGCTTTTTAAATGTGATGACCCTATATTACTTAAAGAGCTTTTGTGGGACTTAGTATCAGATTTTCTTAGTCTCCCCAAACCCAAATTCTGGATATATAAACAATTAAGGTGATCAAGAGCAATTTGACATGGTGGTTTTCTACAATTTACATATATAAATGGTATATGGAATTTCACTGGAAGTGTTTGTTTTGTATTGTTTTAAATCATGTACTCTGTCTGACCTCAGTAATATAACAACTTCATCGCATGCCCCTTCTACTTTAATCCTGCTTGTTTTAACATGAGAATTTAACCAGAATTTTATAACCTTTTTGATCTGTTGGTTCAAAACTAGATTAATTTTAGTATTTGTATGTACTTGGCATAACAGTGCTTTGTACCTCATTGGTATTCCAATTCCCCAAACTGGCTTCTTGCCTTTACTAAAAGACTAGGCAATCATCTATGATCCAATTTCTTTAAAAGTGTAGTGAGAGCTAATTTCCCAGAACAACTCATCTGTTATGTTGAATAGACTTACTTTACTCCAGTTATGGTACATAACAGTACCTTTTACATTTCAGCTTAATGTAATCTTCCTTGGGATTGCTTTGTATAAAATGTTTCATCATACTGCCATTCTGAAACCTGAATCGGGCTGTCTTGATAATATCAAGTAAGTGATTTTTCTTTTCTTTCTTTTTTTTAAGCTGCCTTATTTTGATACACTAAACTATCCTTGCTTTTAATTGTATTGAAATTTTATAACAAAATGCTAAAAATCAGTATGTTGTCTTTGCTGAATAAAATCGTTTATTGACTATGAAGGTAACTTGATCTGCTTACTTGAAATGAGTATGATGAAGCTCTGTCTTCAAAGAAACACCCCCAACTCTGATTTACTGCATGATAAGATTTTAATATATACATTTGTTTATTTTGTTCTGAAAGCAAACATGAAGTTTCTGGATCCAGGCAGAGTATTGTTTCTTAGCACAATAAAGGCATCAGTTCCCAACAGTCCATGTCCCCATCAGAACATGTAAAGAGAGACAGATGGTGGCATCTGCGAGAACCAGAAGGGGGATACTACACCACAGAGAGGAGCCCCCTGATCATGAATCTGGGAATTTATACAGGAACTGTTATATAGACGTCCATCTCTCAGGGGAAGAGATTAATTTCTCCTCCTGAGAAAGGAGGAGAAACTTCAATTTCCTGATATATAATCAATCATTGGGAACATAAATATATGGTTCCAGGCTTTACCTCCTCTCACCTTTAAAATGTTAACCTTTTTACCTCATGGGAAGTAAATCCCTCCAGATGTCTATCACTATCTACTCAGTCACTAAATCATCTTTTAACTTCCCAGGTTTGTTTTTTAACCCAAATTCCACTTGTCTATGTGCAGAAAACCCTAGCCATGCAGATGTATGAAAATATTCACATTACTTTCCACCCTAGTAGTACTTCCTTAATACATACAAAAAAAGAAGCTAATTTACATTTTCTGAAAAGAAATATGGTTCCTTGGTATAACCAAAATATTTATCTTGTTCCTTTAGAGTCTATGATATTTAAGAAGACAAATATGTTCAGATGCATTTTATTCATTAATATATATTGTATACTAAACTGCCTTTGTGTATAATCTGTCTATGTGTTAATTTGGTTAAATGTTTGGATTTACATGAATACACTTTCTGAAATTTCCTGAGGTCACCTGTGCTTTTCATGTGTGGCTGACATTCTCCTTGAACTACTCAGATAACAGCTCTGTCACCCATTTCCCATCTTTCTACATTGAGTGCCTGACACAGTTCCTTGCCCATAGTAGAGCCTCAACAAATGTCCACAGAATAAATTAATGCATTAAAGACTTTAGTGACAAAAATATATTGAAGTTAAGTGAGTCATTTTATTGAATCAAATATCTGCCTAAATTAATTGAGGAGAGCTAAGGAATTAGAAAATAATAATATAATGAAGTAAACTAAAATCATCTACTGCAAGTAATAGTCTTTTGTAAGTCTTAATAATAGTTGAGATGATAGTCATTATGTTGTTGATTTGTGTACAATTAGACTGCCCTTCTAAAATATAGTTAAAAAACAGCCCTTGTTGGTGTGTGGCTCACTGGATTGAGCAACAACCTGTGAAACAAAGTGTCGCCAGTTCAATTCCCAGTCAGGGCACATGTCTGGGTTGCGGGCGAAGTCCCCTGTTGGGGGTGTGCAAGAGGCAACCACACATTGATGTTTCTGTCCCTCTCTTTCTCTCTCCCTTCCCTTCTGTCTAAAAATAAATAAATAAAATATTTTAAAAAATAAAACAGTTAAAAAATAAAAACAAAAATATGTAGTTTTAGTTCCTTGGACTATATGATCCTGGTAAAATTGTGTTTGGGTAAATTAAATGAATTATTTTCTTTATCACAACATACATTTACTCACTTTCATATAATTACAACATCTTAGTATCTTATTCTTTAGTATAAAACAACATAAAAGTAATTATTATCATTTGTCATGTTTTTAAAGTACTACCAAAAATAAGCAAATAAAATATTGATATTTATGTACTAGCTTTTAACATGTTCAGAATGAGAAAAAGGTCATGTACTTAGTGCAATCATGTATTTTAAAAGATAGATTTGTTCTTTCATTATTCATATATATTTCTTTAGGTAGTATGAAATAACTATGATATTACTATTTAGAAAAACAAACATACAAAAGGAAATAATTACATAGTGGAATTGATGGCATCAAGCTTTATATTTCAAATTAAAGCCTTAAATAAGAAAAATTTTATTAGAATTCTGTCTAAACTGTTCCATACTATAGAAACTTCGGAAAGTTTATTAACCTTACTGAGCCTCCCTATCCTACTTAGAATGGCATAATAATGAAACATACCCAAGCATCAAATGAGCAGAGGAAATCAAACAGCTTATGATGATGCTTTTTAAAAAGTCAATACAGTAAAGAGAGAAATTGGGTACTTTATTAGAAAAGGTATAGAAGTTAGTTTTAAGATGTAAGAAACATGAAGATGGGTATGTGAATAGGAAAGAACAAGGAATAGAGTGGGCAGCAATGTGAGAAAGGGAATCATTGTTACACTTGTGACCCGAGGAACTGTGGGAAATGAGAGCCAGAACCATGGTAAAGCAACTCTGCTGCGTTAGATTTCATGTAAGACCCTTTTCCAGAGTTACCAGAAGCCAGGCAGGAGGACCGTTTTCCACTGAGACTGGATGAGATAAATGAGTGTGGTATAGACATGTTGGAACCAGCATAAGGCAGTTAATTGAGGGATTTCTGTCTATTCCACTCTGTGAAGTAGGAAAGATGGTCATCTACAGGATATATGGGACTGTTGAAGAGAGATAATAAAAAAGGAAATATATCTTAGAACTTTCTGGAATCTGAAGGACATTTCATTTTATTTTAAATATCTTAACTATTTAAGAAGTGCTTGTAAAGAAATCAATAGGGCATAATTGATCAGGAAAGAAGAATTTAAGAAAACTAATAATGATTTTGAACATTAACCAAAGCACAGAATTTGTCATTTAAAATTTTTGAACAAAAATAAATATTTGTAGTTTTAAATGGTATGGGTGATGTGAGAATATTCTTTTTAATGGTATAAACATCATTTCTCTGGAAAGTTTTTTTTTAGTACATGAGATAAAGCATAGACATTAATAACATTTACTTGCTGTGGTTTCCTGTAATTTTATAAAGTAAGGAATAAGACAGACTACTTTGTTCAGTTTATTCAAAGAAAAGTACACCATATAAGACTTTCTAGAAGTTGTCTTTCTAAAACAATTCCTTCATTTTTCACAATCTGTATTGCTTTTACTATACATGTACTTTCACACCAAATATGTCCTCTACTGGAAATGTGTTTGCTTCTTCCTAATTCACTGCCACCCTTACCTTTTAGGCCGCCATCAACTCCTTACAGAGCCATTGCAGTGGTCTCCTCACTGCTTTCCATATATTGATTCTTGCCCCTGTCTTGATCAGCAAGAGTGATCTTTTCAAAAGTTTAAATCTGACCATGCAACTCCTTTTGGTAAAACTCTTTAGTGGCTTCCTGTTGCTCTTACATGAAAGTCCAGCTCCCCTACGATGGGCTAATAAGTGCTCTTGATCTGGTGTCCCATTCTTTCATCAGCCTCTTTTTAATCCATGTGTGCCTCTGGCCATTCTAGATGTGTTTCTTTGGCTTCATGTTTTATCCCTGCTGTGTTTCTACTGATGTTCTCATCCCTAATCCTATACCTTGCTGACTACAATTGACATAATTTAATTATCATTTAAAAAAATAGTTGAATTACATTTTAATTCCAAATTTACTTCACTCATTATAAACACATTTGATTTTAAGTACAGAATATTCATTTGGCTTGCTGGTTACTGTATTAATGCTATACTCTGGAAAAAATAAACAAATAAAGTGAATTATATAATACGATTAAAGAGAAAATGAGGTATAACAGTTTTTAAATTTTGCTGAAAATAATTAAATTTAAACAATATTTTTTACTTGCTATTTGTTTACTTGTACTTTGTCTCTTTTCTATCAAAATAGGTAATTATATTTGGAAGAATAAAATAATTCCAATCATTTAAACTTTTTGGTTGAATTTTTGACAAGTTGAAATTGGAGCTTACAGTAATCATTGCAAACTGAAATCTAATTTTGAAAATATGTATGTAAATGTGAATAAAACAATGACTGACTTGTTACCAACACAAAATTAACTTATGGTATCACTGAAGTGTTATGATATATAAAGCTTTAATTCTTGAGCAGCATTTAGGGCAATCCTGACATTTACCTTTAAAATGTAAGTGATTTCGTACTTGTCAACTACATCTACTTTTGGAAAATGTATTTAATCTCATCATAAGTATTTTGAAAACTAAAAAATAATAATAAAAGCTTTTAGGACTAAGAAAGAAAATTGGTACCTGTATGGAGGGACAAGGAATGTACTTGATATTTATCTCCTGTGTCTCTTCTTTTTCCCTTTCCCATGGACTGACTTCTGTATCTAGACTTCTGATTTTGTACTAGTCATTTTTTTTTTATCTGATCCCTCCCTGTAACTTAGGTTTTACCTGAGTGATGGGTCAGCAAACACATTGTCAGATGGTTTGATCAAACACTTTTCACTTTCTTTCTTCCCTGGGTTCTAGCAGCTAAAGGAAGACGTTAGAGAGGAGGGAATAACTATAGTGTCAGACACATTTGGGTTTCAATCTCTGTTCAGTCCTCTAAGGATTATAACAATCTCTGTTCCGTTATGGCTCTTTGTCTCAGTATCTCCTCTGCATCAGGAATAATTGTATCTACATGCTCCTAATAGAGTGGTAATTAAATACAATCATACATGTAAAGCATACAGCACATAATTTAATGCCCATATAGAATGGTTTCATTATTTTTAACACCCTATGTAGAAATGTATTGCTGCAATTGGTCCTTAGTGCTTTTCATCATGAAATTTGCTCAACCTCTTATTAAAACCCCTTTAAAAATTTACTGGCTCAGCCTTGGCTGGCGTAGCTCAGTGGACTGAGCACGGGCTGTGAACCAAAGTATCGCAGGTTCAATTCCCAGTCAGGGCACATGCCTGGGTTGCAAGCCACT